CAGTGTGTGGGAGGGCCATTAATTTGCCGGGGTGTCAGTCAAAGGAGGCGATAACAAGTTTTTGGCTGATTTGATTGCCGCCGTCTACGATGAGCAATGAGCCGCTTAGATTTACCCTCGTGAGTGTTTCCCTTTTGGGCCTAATCTAGATTTCAATTGAGATGAAGGAGGTTTTGTCTTAATTGCTTTTGGCCAGGGGGTTTGCATTTTAAGAAATGCATTCGAATGGCTAAAATGTAGGTTGCAGTAGAGAGCATTTCAAATTGGGCATAAATATAAATGTATGCAAAGATTGCTTTGCGAAGTCAATTCAATTAAATCAATAAATTATAAACAATAATTAATTTTTAAATATTTAACTACAAACTATTATTCTTAAAAACTTTCTCCTATATATTATAAAATATAATCAAACTCAATTATTTTATACCTTATCAGATTTTATTTTAGCACTATTCAATTTATTAAATTTCTGTGTAATGATCGCAAAGAGTCCCTGGATTTTCCTTTGGCTTAATTGTTTTCCCTATCCCTGAAACCCTATCTCTTAAATGATGTGTGGCTACCGTAAACCTTATCCTTGACCCTCTCATTAACTGTATTCAATATGAAACCTTCCGAAAGACAACTGCCCATGAGCGATCGTCACTTCTGATTAATGATGGATGAGTTGACCGGAGGAAAAGCAAGGAAGATCTCCAATTATGCCATTTGCATTTACAATTCTGAAATTGTAAGCAATTATATTGGACATTTCTACTCTGGCCACTGATCGATTGTTGACGGTTTGGGATCGTAGATTCTTGGCTTTATTTTTTGGAAAATAGATAAGAATCGGAACAATAACAAAACGATGAACTGAAAATGATTAGTCAACACAATACATTCACAAACTGATACAGATGGGCTGGCAATAAAAAAAATTACAGACAATTTTCATGAACAAACGCCTTTTATGGTCGCACCAAAGGGAAAATGGAAAGAAAAACTATTAACAAATGTCAATTAGATGACACAGGCGCAAAAGTTGAGATTGAGAGAAATGTTTCCATACCTCGGTCGGGGTTAATGACAATGAGACGTGCATCAGATGCATCCAGCAGATACAAAGATACAACATAAAGAGATACATCCCCAGATATGTTTGTCATTTTTCGGTTTCGTCTCTCTCGATCTTTTTTTTTTCTTGTGGCAATGTTACAAATACAAATTTTCTGAACTTGTTGGGTCCAATGATTTGTTTGCATTGTTAATTGGTTCGGGGTTGGGGAAGGAAACTCAGAGGATGACTCAGAGGCGTGTGAATTACTAACGATCGCTTGGCTTTTTACCGTTTTTTATTAAGAAACTTATTGGGGGTCGGAATTTTTTTAACGGCGAGAAAGTGCCGCACTTGAGGAAATCGAGGTTAAATTTCCATCAAGTATACGACTTTCAGATAAGCTTGAGTACTCATTGACTTAAAGGTTATTTTATTGCGGTTTCTAGCTAAATAAAGACATTTCATACAAGGTTTTCTAGTAAAACAAGAAAATAGTAAATTCACAAAAATAAACAACTGTAAAAAGTTCTGTAAAACCAATAAACCTCAATTTAATATGTAATGTAAAATATTCCTATGCTTCACTTTGTTAAAAAGTTTTAATCATGTATATCCTTAGTTATTTGTATTTTATATTTATTGCACTTAAATTCAGACACTTTCATATATTTGCTTTTAAAACAACTACTTATGTTTTTGCATAAGGAAGTAAAGTATTTTGTAAACAAAAGCATTTTGTGAAATACCTCTAACCCATCTAACCATTAATCCATTTTACAACTTAATTTCCGTATAAAATGCTTAGTCTTTTTAAAACATTTCCTCTCCTTTTTTATGCCCGAAATCAATTTGTAACACTTTGCTTGAAATTAGCCACATTAGGTATTTTAATTTTATTTTTATACGAGAGACTTTTACCAATGAAATAATCAGCTCCAGTTTTTTTAATTCCCTCGTCTGCAGTCTCAATTAAAAATCGTCAGCTGGCATGTGGAAAAACCCTTCCGGAAAATCTAAAGTCAGAAGAGTGGAATTCTATTCAAGGTGTTAGGTGGCAGGTGTCACTTGCCAGTTCAGCGAAGCTTAAACGTTTTTGTTCCATCAGAAATTAACGCTTGAAATGGATTTTAAGTGCGGCTTGGCTAATTGAAAAGGTGTTTGTACCTATAAAAAATGTATAGGAAACAGAAGAAGAAAAGGGTAAAAATTCAAAACAAAAAAATCACAGACGAACCGAGCAATTGACCGCTGGGAAATGAACCCATAAACAAATTACAAACAAAAGGCATTTAAGGACCGACTGGGGAACTCCAACACGCAAAGTCCCAAGCATTTATTTATTAATCGCATGTCGGGGGACAAGCCCCAAAAAAGACGAAAAATATTATACTAGCACGTAAGCATTAAACACTCTTGGAGCGGAAGAACTAATTAACCAGGAGGAGGACTCGGACCCAGACAAAATAACTTGACAAAAACTCATTAGCACGCTCGAACGTTAAAAATGTCGCGTCAAAATCAGCGCTTAATATTTTTTATGATTAGCCCACGACAAAATGTCGCCGAAAATTCCAGGGAAAGAGGGAAAAACGGAAAAGAATTATGACTAGGATGAGTAAATGAACACATGCAAATAAAATTGTACTTCTAAGAGCGATGTGTCTTTAGTTGTCTGTGATAAATAGGGAAATAAATATTTAAAATGAAGGTTTTAGAGAACGCCTTTGATATAAATATTCTCACTATATAGTAATAAGTATAATTTGTAATATTTATTTAGCTATGTCGGGAATAAGTATTAATCCAATTTAAAACTCTAGATTACATTAAACAAATTTTACTTGTGCAGTTGGAATAGTAAAGTAATTTTGTTAACTCCACGCTGAGGAAAACTGTAAAGTCTCATTAATTCACAGAAAAACACACATATGTTAGAGTTTTTCGCGACTTTTGCTGCACGATCCATTTTAATTGTGTGCTCTGTTTGACTTTTTGGAAAAATAAACTGGAAAAAAGTAACCAAACAAAAACAGGAAAGGAAAGCTAACTTCGGGCGGAGCCGAAGTTGATATACCCCTGCAGAATACTTTGTAAATTATATTCTCCAAAATGATTCATATGATGCATTCTTAATACTCATAAAAAATCCCAACTTCCTAACTTTAAAAACACCAAAGTTATGGCTTTTCCAATCGTTCAGTTATATGGCGGATATAGGATATAGTCGTCCGGTCCTTATGAAATTTGGTAGGTCGGACATGGACATGGCTATATCAACTCAGGAGGTGATCCTGATCAAGAATATATATACTTTATAGGGTCGGAGATGTCTCCTTCACTGCGTTTGAGTGGCCTTGAAAGAGTAAGGATCGAAGGAAAGGATAATGTCAATCACCAGAACTCTTCAACATAGATTAAAGTATGGTTTTTAAATTTGTTGCCTTTTTTTCTGGGTGCATAACATTTGAATAATATTGTGTAAAAATGTTAGATTGATTCGAGTAAAGCTTCCGAAGTTATGGGTAGTATAACGTAGGTAAGTAGCTCGTTTTGTATTCGATTTTTGGGTGTCCAAAACTTTAAAAAGCTCTCCTGAAAAGTTGCCATTTCAAAGTCGATGAACACGATCCTGGACGAATCGTTTTGAAATTTTTATACCCGTTACTCGTAGAGTAAAAGGGTATATTGTATTCGTGCAAAAGTATGTAACAGGTAGAAGGAAGCGTTTCCAACCCTATAAAGTATATATATTCTTGTTCAGGATCACTAGCCGAGTCGATCTAGCCATGTCCGTCTGTCCGTCTGTCCGTCCGTCCGTCTGTCCGTCTCTCTGTCCGTATGAACGCTGAGATCTCGGAAACTATAAAAGCTAGAAGATTGGCATTTTGCATGTAGATTTTAGGACTTCCTACGCAGCGCAAGTTTGTTTCAAAATGGTGCCACGCCCCATCTGACGCCCACAAGCCACAAGCTGTGGCCACAGTTTTGATGATATTATGAAAATTTTAATTGATATGTATTTGTTTCGTCAATAAATATCGATTGGCCTACTAAAAGTTTGCCACGCCCACTCTAACGCCCAAAAACCCATTAAACACTTAAGCCTGGCTAGCGCCTACATTTCCGCCTTTTATGGCGCCATCTAACGGATGGCTTTGGAACAGCTGGCCAAGGTGCTCAACAGAGTCAACGTTAATTTTCGATAAGGACTTCTATTAAAGGAAATTGCGATGGTTTTCATTTGTCAATACCGAACTATATCCCAAGAACTATGCAAATCAAATCAAGTTAGCCAAATTGGAGGTCTGAGTCAAACAATGGCGTATGTGTGTTTGTATGTAAGCATATACAGTTGCAATTGCATATTTATATTAAGTTGTTTAGCTGAGTAACGGGTATCTAATAGTCGAGGCACTCGACTATAGCGTTCTCTCTTGTTCACTCTATTTCTGTACCTAAATCCCCAGGTACTGACGTCGAGTGTAGATCTCGTCAGCTGACCAGTGCCAACATGCTGGGCATCGCCGCTGCCCTTATCAATGTTAGTTGTATTTATGTCTGCCATTTAATCTTTTATTAAAGCTCCAAATATGATTCGAGATCACAGTTCGTTGAAAACAATTTGAGTGTGGCTCAACAGAGACTCAAACAAGTGCATTATACCCTCTGATTAGGATTTGTTCTCTGATAAGGCACAACATCGGCGCAGTTCTCCGCTTTAATTTAGGGCTCTTCGAAAGTCAACAAATAAATCGAAATTCAGTTTTTTCAAAGTGTTTGCCCTTACCGGTTGCTTATTTTTAATATGTTCAAGTCATCGATTTATTTTTTCTTGGCGTTCCTTTCATATAATCTGTATGGATCCTTGGCAGAAAGCCATGACAATGGGCGATCCGTATGCCTATTGAACGACCCGCCAAATCAATGTGGGGAGTTTTGTCTTGAGGCACTGAAGCCAATGCTCGATCACATTGCTTTTCACCAGAAGGAGTGGAGCACTTGCAAGCCCCAAAAACATAATGAAACACAGGAAAGACTTGTCAGAATCGAAGCCAAACTTGACAAGTTACTGGACCAGAAGGAAGCTTCATCGACGAATGCAAATATTCTTGAGTTACAGACAAAACTGGATCGGATTGAAAACCTACTCGCAGGCCTGCAGGAAAATGTGTCTAAACGTGTCTCCAACGCTAGTATATCTCCTTCGTTCACTCGGATCGGGTCTAGGTTAATTTACATCGAAAAAGATATCGAAAAGTCCTGGGACGCTGCTGAAGAAACCTGCCGCGAGATGGGAGGTCACCTGGCAACTATTCAGAACAAATCGGACCTAAACAGCATCGAAAAAGAACTAGAGCTCCATGGCGTCTACTGGCTGGGCATCACAGACGTGGCCAAGGAGGGAGAGTTTGTGTCCGTGGCCACTGGCGAACCAGCACCCTTCTTGAAGTGGGAAGAAAATTCACCATTCAGTTTAACACACCAATATAACTGTGTGGATATTTACAAAGGCGAAATGTACGATACCGACTGTAGCAGAAGTGAAAATTTTATCTGCGAGGCTGTTGGATAAGTGAAATAAGTGAAGTTTTTTATTTATACAAAAGGCTCATTCAACCATCTAATACACCTTAAGTAAAAACAGTTTTTAAAAAAGTTAAATAAACTTTTGTGTTTTGAGATATGAGAAAAAAAAGAACCAATTGTTAAATTATTATGTTGCTTTTCAGCATAAGAGGCACTTATAAATAAATCTATTATATTGTTCATTTTCTTGTTTCATGGCTAACTGAGTTGGGTTTTAACCTGAGAAAAGCGAAGACGGGTTCTAATGTTCGTTGCACCTCGAAATTGGACAGCACAGCAGCTGGCTTTATATCAAAGCCCATTAGTTCAATGCTTCCGGAAATGAACCCACTGAATAAGAGGGTCTGAACTGAGTATTAATCTATTAATAAGGTTAGTATTTGTTTAAGACCGCTAAATTTTTCGGGTATGGTATACCTTTTTGAATCTTTATTTTGGCTCTAGTGGCTTTCTTTGACAATGGTTCCCAAAGCCATTTCCTATTGTCCGTTAGAGGATTGGAATCCGGGACCGCAGCCGCATTAGTGGACTTGCTGGCATGCCGGCAGCACATTCGACACTTGCAGGGAACTCATTAGGCACCTGAGCAAATGCAAAACCTCCACTCCACCCAGACGCTAAAATTCAGTAAGCCCCGGGGCTGGCAGCACTTCACACCATAAATGTCATAAAACTCATAGAAAATCCCAACTTCCTAACTTTAAAAACACCACCGTTATGGCTTTTCCGATGGTTCAGTTATATGGCAGCTATATGATATAGTCGCCCGATCAGGCTCGTTCCGACTTATATACTACCTGCAATAGAAAGACAACTTTTGTTTCAAGCAGATAGCTTTAAAACTGAGGGACTAGTTTGCATAGAAACGGACGGACAGACGGACGGACAGACGGACGGACAGACGGACGGACAGACGGACGGACAGACGGACGGACAGACGGACGGACAGACGGACGGACAGACGGACATGGCTAGATCGACTCTCCTGGTGATGCTGATCAAGAATATATATACTTTATAGGGTCGGAAATGTCTCCTTCACTGCGTTGCAAGCTTTTGACTGAAATTATAATACCCTCTGCAAGGGTATAACAAATGCCGAGGACATGACACCCGCGGTGGCGTCACTCAGTTGTCATTCACCTTATCCCGTTCTGCCACCACTGCCTCAACATTGAATGATACCCTTTAATTTAAAGGTAGTTACTATCTTGTGATATATTACCCACACATTTACAATTCCGTAATATCTTGCTTAAGCCAAAAAAAAGGGCAAAAGGAGAACAAAACGTAAGCCATGGTAATCTAATTAAATTTAAAATAGTTTAATAGCTAATTTCAGGAGCAGAATGTTTCTTAATCAGAATAAGACCCTCTTCATTGCTTTATATAAACAATATATTTCGCTTTAAAATTATACGTATACTTAATATAAAATAAATTATGTTTCCAGTGATATTCTATTTTGTGAGTAAAACTTTTTCCAATATCCACATCAATTTATATCAATTGGAATGGACTTAAGCTCAACACACCTTCACCGAAAATTATTTTGATTAGAAGAAATGCAAGTCTTCAAATATTTCCATATCCAATTTTATTATAGTTTGCATTTAAGTTAAATAAAATTTACAAAAGACAAAAACGGACTACTCTACTTTGGTAATGAAAACTTTGGTAATGAATATCCATAATAATATATATTAAAACTTAAGCTTAAAGCTCTTTCAATTTATCGGAAAAACACCACTTAATATTATTTTAACTTATCTAATTTTAGCCTTTTAAAATCTGACCATTTTGTATTTCATATTGTATACAATCATTTATAATAATATCTCAAAGGGTATTTTAGTTTTCGAGTCCAGTGTCCTTTCATCACTATATCCCTAATAAGGATCTTTTGACGACCCGAGTGGACGCTCTTGTATAAATATGACGATAAATTTTCGTTGGCCACTGTCGCTACTTTTCTCTGTTTCCCTTTTTTGTTTCTCCCATTGCAACTTCATTTTGGTTTTTAATTTCCTACTGGGATTTACGTAAAAGGTGTCCTTTTTCCCTTTTCGCTCTGTCTGCAGCATCGCTTTTAATGGCCACCGTCCAGTCTGCAGCGATTTTAATATAAAAACTAAAGACAAAACAAAGCAAACAAAAACAGAAGCAACAGTCATTTGTAAGCGCAGACGAAAAAATATTAAATGACGAGGGTTGAGTAAAAGGTGAGATAAGCTCTTTAAGCCATATTAGCCGGTACACACGTGAGTGGGCTTAAATATTTTAGCATTTAACTAGGGAGATTTTGGTAAAAATGTGGATGGAAAGGAACTTTAAGAACAACCAAAAACTAAAAAAACTCTTATCAATGATTAGAAACTTATTAACAATTTTTCAATGATATTCCCTTTTTCTAAACTTTTTTAAATACTACTTTTAAAGTTAAAATTTAAAAATAAATCGTTCTTACTGAAACATCATAAAGTTGGCGGAATAACCTCAAATCTAATTCCTTTTTGTTCGGACCTATAGACACACTTAAAGGCAATTAATAATTTAAGCCAGCCCTTTGAACCTTTCAAACATTTCACATTCTTAACCCGTAATTAATCAAAAAAGGCTTGTCCATCAGGGCATAAAATGTACAGAAAACTTCTCAAGCACTAGACCTGAAATAAATTGCATAATGCTCAACCAAAAAATAAAAGAAAATGCCTGCCATACATTAATAATTACATGCACACAAAAGGCAAAAGTGTTAAAGCAAAATATAAGGCCCATTCTCCGCGGAAAGTTGCCAACTCCCTGTTGTAATCCATCAAAAGCGGCGACAAACTTCACGCATTGTTAGGCAGCCAAAGTTAAGAAGGGGCTCTCGCAAATTAAAAGCCTGGCCAAAGTTTCGCGATGGTTAAAAAGTGGGTGTGCAGTGAGGGCAGTCTGGCTATTTAAAAAAAAAATTAATTAAAATAAAATCCAACTTCAATTTTCAGATTTAGGCTATTGCAGACATTATTAAACTGTTTTAGCTTTATATGTAATAAAGAAATTTTTTTTCGAAGTCTTTTAAATTGAATGGTATACACATTGTGTATGTTATGTTCTATTAGACTTTTTATTATAGATAATAAATTGATTTAATAAAATAAATGGAGTAAAAAATTATATAATTGTTGTAATTTAAAAAAAAATAGTTTTACATTACTTTGTTTAGAAAATTAGCTAAGGTAAACATGGCATACCATTAAAGAAAAATAAAATTATATTTTGATAATTTTTGTTCATCTACTAATAAATATGTTTACTTAGGCTTTTAAATCAGAAATTATTAAAAAAATATATATTTTATTACCAACACTTTGCTTTATATTTAAAAGAGCCAATTTAAAAAGATTTAGTAATAAAATGTAGCTAGTAATCACAATCCAAAGCTGACAGCACAGTGTGTGAGAGAATTTGTGGGTGGGCCTGCAGTTCAAGGAAGTAAAGAGTAGCGGTTAAAAAAGGAAAATGGGGAGGCAGCAGCTTCTTTTATTGACAATAGATGGAAGGCTAAGCAAAGATTCTCTTTGAGTTGTAATTTTTAGCCATTTAGCTGGCCGGGCACGTTTTGCATTTAGCGCGTAAAATAAATTTGCACAATTTGTGACAAGAGTGCGAGCAAAACTAAAAAGGGGGGGTTTTGAGGAGCTGAAGAAAGGGGGAGGCAAACAAATTGACAAAGTAAAGGCACTGTGGTACAAAAATGTACAAGATATACAGTTGAAATATTTATTATTAAATAAATTACACACAGTCTTGGTTCAATCATTATTTAGTCTAGAGATCATTTAACAAATATTTTGGTATTCAAATATAAATAAAAATATTTAATTATTTTCACAAGTTAGCAACCTAAATTCATCAACTAAATATTAAAGAACATCCTAAATTAAGAATGTTTTTATTTAATGTAGGCTATTTTGATTATTTACTTATAATTCAATTTAATTGCAATATAGATCTATTAATTATTTTTAAACGATACAAATGATACATATTTTTTCAAATTTCTGTACAAAAATTAAAAGAGATAATTGTTTGATTTTATGAAGTTGCAATGTTTTTATAAATAATTAGGTGTAGTTGATAGGTGTATACAACAGCAATAACATTGCTTTTCTTCATGATTATTGTATTTTCTATTGGCTTTTATATACATATATTCTAGATATATATTTAAATTTTATGTTTTCTAAAAAAGAGGCTAGTAATCTTATTATTATTTCAATAAAATATATATGAAATCTTTATACATATAATAAAGCCATGGGGGTTCTTCTGGCATTTTAAAAAAATGCATTTATATTTTTGTGAAGAATAATATTTTTGGTAGCAAAGCCCGATTCGCCCACTGTGCCTTCTCTTTGTCCTAAGGAGGCGTCACAGTGGGCAGGCGGGCCCCTGTGGGTCGGCTAATTGTCATGCCATGCGAGACTTCTCTCGAGCGGTTGTCTTGGGGACCCGCTACTGATTTTTCTTCTTATTTGCGGCTCTGCACTCGGTCCGTCCATCAATTGACTTTATCTATTTGAACTCGCATGTTAAAAATATCAATTTGTTGTCTGCCCAGACTTTTGACTTCGCCCGTTTCTGACTGACACTCGGGCCCGCTCAACTGGCTCTTTTAGCCGGGTCCACAGTAGAATCGCAGCTTTGCGTTTTTGGTGTGATTTATGGCCACTCGGTGGCATAAATGTAGGTGCGGCCTGCTGCCACATAAATCATTGTTCAACTCTGCAATGCAATTTTGCGCAAAATGTTCACTTTGCACTCCGGCTCGAGGGCTCAGTTGTTTGTAAGCAGGGATAATATTTGTTAATTGGTTGAACCACAGCTTAAATTTGGGGAGTAAATCCCCAAATTTAAAATAACTAAACAATCATTAGACAAATCATTCAGATTTTAGAAAATCGCTCATATCTTTTCTTCATAAGGTGGATTAAAAAACTATTTAAATTATTGAAAACATGTTTTGAAAATATAGCTTAACATTTTCCTTTACTTCTTCAATTATATTTTCCCTTAAATCACGTCTCCAATTAAACAATTTTAATTAATAATGCTCAATAGATATAAGTGATACAGACTTTTGTCATTCCCTTAAACCGATTAATCTGCTGTCTTCAAAACTACTTTGTGTGGAAACTCTACAACCATTACCCATATCCCGACACCTGTTATACTTTTATCCTCCCCAGAACCTTTGGCCAGTCATTTGACCATTCGGAATCACTTAATCTGCTCGGGAACCCCAATATTCCTGCTCTTCAGATCAATTATGAAACTGAAAGGAAAATAGACCAATCCCAGATATAAGTGTGCCACTTGTGAAGGGAAGGGAATCCGAGTAAATTATAAGGTTTGTGAAAAACAGGAGAGGGCTAACCCCAAATGACCACACCCACATGAATAATTCATCGAGTCAACTGAGTGGCTGTGGCTGCATTAATGAGTAACGCTTCTTATTTACCATGATGCCGCAAAAAAATCAGAAACAGAATTGAGAAATATTCAGCGAGACAAGTTTAATTAGAGAGAGAGAAGCCGAGTGAAATTGTCTTATCATAATCATTCCACCGAGGAAATTTCCTGATTTTTGCACACAGACTGACTGGAAAATTGTGTTTAGTCATTCCATACACATCAATCATAGTCAGAGTCCCTCAGACAGTCGAGTTAATGGCCAAGGGATCCTGGCCATAATGTGCTGGGTGTTTGCGTGTCCTCGGACTTTCAGTTAGACAAGTGCATGATTAATTATTTTATTATCTATAAATTGGTTTTGTCCCCTTGAAATGATGATGGTGGACCTTTTATTCGCTCTTTTCTTTACCTTTGCATACTTTGAGGCTTGTTAAAATTACTCGCTTTTCTTTATGGCTTTAAAAGGTTTTCGCTGCGCTTGGAAAATTTCTGATTTCACATGTCGTTCTCCAGTCCATCATCATTAATCCCACTAAAAGCCTCAAAAAAACATGTATCTTTTTTTTTTGTAAGTGCCATGAGGATATGGGTCTTCAATCTGAAGTGGTGAACCATTTGTACTGGATTTTCTGTTCAATATTTTTGCCAAACACTTTTGTTTCCTTTTTTGTGTGCGAAAACTTTCAAGTGGGAAATCTGTTGAAATTCGTTCGACTTGCCCATTAAAAATCTTTCGATTTTTTATTGTTCTTATTGCATATGTATTCTGGCGAAACTCGAAACAGATTTGGGTCACAAACTGTTCTTGTTTAATTAGCAAAAATTTAATGACTTTTTTGGGAGTGAGAAGCAAATGTTTTTGAAATATTTCGATGACAGCTTTAATGGCAAAATGAGGAAACAATGGAAATGTACTTCGGAGGAGATCGAAAAACAATGATCAAACTTGTTTCAGACTTTCTGAAGTATAAATATTTTAATGGATTCAGAACGTGAGAAACTTTCTTTAACACAGAATCAAATTAAACCAATTGAGAAATCCCTAATTGAAGTTCAAGCTAGTTGAAAGTTCATTTCTTGGCTCGATTTCGGTTATCATTTCCACCGCGGGGCGTCGATCTCCGTCCCCAATTAGCGGTTAGGATCATAAAACCAAGCCGGCAACTAACTCCATCATTACGCAATTAAGCAACGACCCGAACACAAGCATTTCCACACAGATTTATAGCTATATCCATATCGAACGGGGGGCACATTAAATCACGCGACCCATTAATAAAATTGTTTCAGTCTCGTCGCCTTATAATTTTTTGGGGGGGTCCAAAACAGAAGTCTCAAATATTTAATCATTGTCGCTGGGCTATCATTCTTGGGCCTTGGGATAGATGCCATAATTCTGTTGAAAACAATTTGTTCAAGTTGATTTTATTTTCGAAAGGCAGCTGTGTGCTGGAGCTGAAGATTCGAACAGTTTTATGACCCTGTTTTGGGTGCCATCAAAAAAATTGTGTAAGTTCTGGAAATAATCAAATCCCGAATAAAAAAGCATAGAGATCACACTCAAAATTCTTTTAGAGGCCATAAAAATAATTGAGCTAAGTTCTTCTGGTCATATAATGAAAACTTTTGGAGACATAAATTATTTTTATTTATCACTTCATAGTAAACGATAATAAAGTTGAGAGAAATAATTAAATTTGTTTACGACATGAAGTTTTAATACAATAATTGATCTGTATCTGGATGAGTGTTTTCTAAAATTGTTATTAAAGAATCAAAGTTTTTAAATTTAATTACTGGAAGTTATTTTTTTTTATTAAACGATTTCCTAATATTTTAATTGTGTAACTTTTAAGCCTACCTTTAAATAAACTAAATGCTGCCTGAGCAACAATCCTTTTCAAAATCGACATCCATTAACTAATGAGGTTCATTTGCATTTGACGAATTCACGCCACCTAAGCGAAATAAATCGAAGCACTTTCAGCATTGATCAAATCATTGATCGACATCAGCCCACACAATTTTCCGTTTCGCTCTATGCAAATCGCTGTGTGGGATTAAAGCAAAAAAAAATCCAATTAACACTTTTAGAACGTGCCAAAAACTTTATTGCGCAAAACTTGATTTATGCAAAACAGAGGGGGGCTGATAGGGAAATCGATTGGTAGCCACAGTGTCTGAGCCAGTTTTGTTGAGCAAATGAAAACCCTCACGATCGCGAAAAGAACACCCACGAATCTCGAGATCCCACAAAATCAATCATCTTTAATTCACTTATTTCTAAACAGAGCAAACATAAAATATGGAAACTTTCTTTAGTCTTAATCATTTTATTAATAAAAAACCAACAATAGTTATATGATTTGAATAAACTATTTTATTTGTAGTGAGAATATATTCTTCAAATGTATTTTCAGTTAAACAAGCTAAGGTTAACATACTAACAAAACGATTTTTTAATATTAAATTGCACATTTACAAAATATTGAAACATTTCTTATGATTAAACATTCTATATCAGCAACATTATTATTAAAACTAAAATCTATTTCATATCTCTAGTTTATTGCCACAATCCGTACTGTTTTAGCTGCATTCTTCTGTATTTTTTCAGTTCTTCGTTCATAACAATGAATTGCTGCGATTTAATCAATTGTGGCAGGTGTTTATATTTTTTTTGTTTTCATGTTTCTGCCACAAAAACTGCACGCAGCCAGCAATCGAAACTGGTTGGCTCCAACTCCGAAAGCCGCTTTGAATCTTTTTTCTGAAGTCTTGTTTGATTTGCTCAAATTAGCGCATGGAGAGCCAAAAACCTGCTGGCGTCCCCCACACAAAAAAAAAAGAGACTCGCAACATGTGGCACGTTTCTTTGGCGAGGCAATTGAAATTGAAAACTTCGCAGCAAATTGTTGGCACTTAATTGAGTAACTCCGATCGATCTCGATGTGCTTTGCATAGATTGAAGGGGGGCCTTTGGAAATTGGAAAGAGTGGAGCGGGGAATTCTGGGAGTGGGTGCGTGATATAGGTGTCATATGAAGTCGGTTGTCAGTTAACTTTGATCGTGTCTCCGCATCGAGCTGCATTGTTTACGATCTGCAGGGGTCCGAATGGACACTTTACCGCAACTCTGGCCAGGTGACCACAGCGGATTGCAACTTTATTGATTCGATTCAACAATTGAAAATTGTTGATCTTTTGTGGTTGATTTTCTGACACAATTGGGTCATAGTTCTTAAGGTCGTGCAGGTGGTGGAAATGAACTATGGGCAATTCAATTATATTTCTTTCAAAATACAAAAAAAACTAATATCTCACACCATTGACTCCATTGGTTTTGTATTTTTCAATAGTACTTTTCTAAGGACAATAATTATGCAATGTAGAATTTGGGTAGTCATTTTTCTCTTCTGAAATTAAAAATATATATCGCTTTCAAAGACATTTATTTATTTAATAATCTTAATAACTTAATCCAACATTTTAGATTTTCTTAACACTTTACAAATACTTTCACAAACCACTTTAACTTTGTCGATCCTCAACTTTTATGATCACAATAAGTCCTCCGACATTTTTGTCATCACTGAAGAATGTGATTATGGCCTTGACACTGCCTCGAGGAATTTGTGACGGCCAATCCTTCGTGTTGAACTGAATGTTTTTAAGGTAGAAATCGCCTTGGGGAACGGGACAGAAATCTTCATCGACTACGGGGAAATTGGTGGTTTCTCCAGTTTTTACAGAAGGCTGTACGAACTGAACATAGAACTTTTTGAAGCATTCGCAAATGCTCGTTTGAGGCACATCCATGACCATCCTTTTAAATTCTCCATCCCCTTTGGGACTTGAATATAGTTCCACCGAAACCTTGAAATCGTCATTGTTCATGTCACCAAGGAATTTGAAGGTTCCGTTAAGAGCTCTCTCCCGACCAACAGTTTTCAATCCATCGAAGATCACCAAGGTCTCTGAATCGCCTTCGAAAGGTTCCAGTTTCTCATTGGTCACCTCGTAGGATTGCTCGCACTGTAAAAATAATTAATTAAATAATTGATTTTAAATAAAGGTTCTTTATATACCTTTATTTTGTGCAGCAAGTGAAGGAGTAAAACTATTATAGCCCACTTCATTTTTAACTGTCAGCTGCCTTAACTGAATTCATCCTATTTATTGAATAATTTTGACCTGTTTTAGGCACGCGATATTCATGTTCTATATAAGTACAATATTATTTACGATCTTGCTTTGATGTTTATTCATTGACAACAATGTATTTGCTGATCGTGATCTTGGATTCTTACAATATTTTTGTTGGGTTTAATTTATTTAAACCTAAATATAACGAGGGGATTGTGATTTTATCTGCCGCCATTATTTCATAAATAAAGTTACAGCTAGTAAACGAATCTTTTATTTAGTCTGTTGTTCTATATAAATTAAGTGTTATCGCATCTCATGCTACATTAAAATAATTCTAAATTGTTTTTGCAAGCCTATTACTACTTTTTGGTTAAATGCCAACTTAATAATACTATAATTAATTTCTTATAAATTTTTATACGCTAAATACATTAGCAAACGAATTTATTTTATACAAGCTATTGAAACGTCGTTCCTTTCAATCCCCCTCCATATTCCGTGATGAAAATCCAACTAAAATAATTCAATTTATTAGAATCGCCGTCAGTTCACCTACGCCCGCCAGATGGTGGCCCGAAAATTCCGCCGAAGTCCCATCAACAGATCATCAAAATTTGGGGGAAAACCCCCCAAAAAAAGAGCGATAATAAAGCATTAATTGAAAACTTATAAACAAAAGACAGCAACTCGAGAATGTGTAGACAAAAGACACGAAATACAAAACAAGAAACACACAAAAAAGTGCGCAATGCCAGAAAAACTAAACTCAGCAGGAGATATTTTACATTTTCACGGATGGATTTCCCCAGAAAGTGTGTGCCAGAGCAGAGGGCTCGATAGTTTATATTTATAACAAATTCATTCAAGATCCAACGGGGAAAAGCGGCCTCGTTTCAGGGGGCGGAGGCACAGAAAAAATAGGGGACACCACGCGCCCGCGCCTGCCACAACCTATAAATAGGAAAAGTCAAATGAGAGGGGATTTTCCGAAAAATGAAAACGTCACTTCAACTTGGCATTGCTCGCTTTTCAAGGGGGGCTTGCCATGGGTCTATTCCACCCATTTCACCCCAAATTTAATAAACAAACGTAGAGAACTTCAAGTACCTAGTAATTTGTATCTGACATTTTATAGATACTTATTAAATGTAGTTTAGTTTAAAGGATATTTCCCGGATGTTCCAATAAATTCTAATTTCTATTGAGCTCAACGAACTCAAATTAGTTTTAATATTTAAGATTATTTTCTTGATCAAATGCGTTTTTATTAATTTCGTAAAGGAAACATATTAAATTATACCTTAAGAATATATAGCACACAAAACTGTTCGTTATAAATATATATTGTCAAAATAATGTGTTTCACTATTAGAATACAATTTTACAAATATATACCCAAAATATCCAAAAATGCAACCATCTGCAAGCCGCAAACAATTCGTGGCATTTTCCAAGTAATATGCAACACATGTTATATGGTCTATGGGGGAAAATGTGCTCCTGCGCCTGCGCCCCGTGCCACAAATGAAAACGGAAAACTGCCAAGGAGCCGACAGTTTTTAGTTTTCCCTTTTGTCAAATGGAGCAGTATATAACAGTGACAGTTCGCTGTTCTCAGCCAGGCATGACATTAGATGATGCTTTGACTCGGATCAGCGCCCCAAAAACCCCAAAGGAACATACAGAAGAAGGGGCCTAAGATTTCATCCTTCGCCCTTCCCCGGCAGCATTGTCAATCAAAATTATTAGGAGAGGATTTATTGGGGGAAACGAGAAAATCGTGATTTATTTAAGATCTGAAACATTCTCAAACTGAATTTTATAAAACAAGATAATATATATTGCATAAATATAATATTATATATAAATATTTATTTGTTTATTTAAGCTAAAATCTTGAAAAGACTTTTTATTCCACATTCTTGGAGTAAATGGATATATCCAGTTTGTGAAAAAAAAACAAGAACCAAACGAGGAATATTTTGAAAATATTTTTAATCAAAAATTAATTTTACTAATATATTACATTTAGTCAATGAACAATATTAATCTATACATTTTAAGTACCTAGAAAATATGATTAAATAGTGGGCATTAATATAATATGTTCAAAAAAGTCTATAGACTTAAACCACACAATTTGTATAAAACTTTGTTGTAAAGTATAGGTCTTATCAATGTCTACCAGAAATAAGAACGCAGTTATCGAAACCATAGATAGCCATTTAGCAAACGTTATGACGAAATACCAAAGACAACGAGTTAAGAAACCATTTAACGGACCACAAATTTTGCATATTCCGAGGCTTTCCTATCCCAGATTAATGATCAGTCTGCTGGCTTGAGTTCGCCGAGTGGTCGAGCAGGTGACAGGCATTAGCATAAATCGCAGAAATCGCTGAAATCGAAGCGAGCAGAGCAGACAGGTCGACCAACCATTAATGAACACCTACACATCGATGGGATCTGGACCTGGCCAGCGATCTTACCAGTATAAATCAAACTTTTAATTATAGTGCAATTAATGTAGCGTATTTCAATTAATTAAATGCGGTTTGATTGGCGTCGTTGCCCAGACGCAGTTCAGCCAAGAAACCAACTATCAAACAACGCCTTGGCACAAACCAAAAATAAAATCAAAAAAAATCAACTGAAAAACAAAAACATTGCGAAACCTGAAATTTTGCGCGCCAAAAACTCGGTGAGGAAAATACAGTATTAAAACAAGTCAACAATATAAACTTGGAGTTTTATTTCTGTAAATCATTACTCGGAATACTCTGGAAAAAGTAAAAATTAATGCGATCCCATTTGGTTTTATAAACCTGGAATTTAGTGAAAGCATTAGTTCACTTAATCCTGGATTATAGTGCAAAATGTCTTTTGTTTTATTGTTGTTGCTGTTAAAATCTAATTTACTCGGGTAAAATTTCTTATGAAAAACCGAGGGGTATAAATACAACTATTTTTAATGAAAACATAGGAATGAACCTAAGGATAATAAATCCTGTTAATGATGAAAATGTATAGCTCGCTTCTGTTTTCTTTTACAATCCTTTTATAAAGCTTTAAGATTACTCCCATTAGATAGGGTATCTAAAACAGCTGGGTACGTTGCCGAAACAGGTGATAACCGCATCCACCGTCGTCATAAACCAGCTGCAATTGCTGCAGGAGGATTTGAAGGGGTGGGGGGCGTGGCGTGGGCGATGGAAAACTCAATTGCGTCGTTGCGAAAATTAACTGCAATATGCACAGAGGCCGAGAGGCACTCGTGGCTTTAACAATTGTTAAAGGCTCGCCACAAGGCCTGACTTGGCTTTTTCGTTTTGTTTTTTTTTTGACAATACAGAAAAAAATATTCCTAATTTTCTTTACGGTTTTAATAAATTTATATCATTTTTAAATGGTTCAAAATGTTTAACTTGACAGGAATCTTTATAATTCCACGTTGATGCTCTGAGCATCTAAAAACAGTGATTATATAATTGTCAATTCATTTAACATGCACATTAAATAACTTAAATACTTTTAGCACGTCAACAAAGAAATATAAAAAAAAAACTATTAACAATTTTGTCAATTATTTTTCAGTCTGTTTAATTGTAATCAAATGGCAAAAAGGTTATATTGGGACATGTGTTCTATATAATTAAAGAATGTAAATTATTACTTTGAGTTTTCTAAGAAACAGAGAATATTACCTTGTTTAAAGTATATTATTTAAGAATTTGGCTATTTCGACGACTGTTTTTCACAGTGTACGAAAGCCTCTTGGCTTGGCTTCCTACGTTGCAGGCCAAGTCAAGAAGGCGTCGCGGCTTCCGTGGCAGGTTACAACAAATTTGTTGCCGCTGTTGTTGGTTTGGCCTAATGCGAAAGTTGTTGGTGTGCTGTAACTGTGTTCGCGCCACAAGTGGCAGTGCCAAACAACACTGCCCATCACAAATTATTTTCAAAACGGAATTTTCATGAGTGGTTACCAAAAAACGAGCCATCAATATTACTTACGCTTTAAAATGCATCACCAAATAATGATTCAGTTACCATTTATGTTTTAAATTATTATTAATAATTCTATTTCAAATTGTTTCCCAAAATGTTTTGCTTTGTGCTAATATTGAAAATATTGTATTGGGTTACTTTAAACTATGAAAAGAAGGTTCATTTATTACAAAAAAATGTTGAACATGATTGTTTAACAAATTTCATAAAACAACGTGAACGAAAGCTAGCATTGGGAAAACGAATGATACCCTTGCAGTCATACCAAAAATAAATGAGATATATATAACAGCGAAAGGATTTAACAAGACTCAAGGTATTGCTCCAAACAAGATATTATGGAAAAGATAGAATAAAAATCCGTTTTAAAAATGTTTTTATGTCAAAAATTCGAAAAAATCAACTTGAGTTTCGGACTTTTATCAATATCTCTAATTAAATTCGTTATAAAAATTTCAATCGATAGGCATTCTCAGTTGAAAAATTTCACTTATAAAATATCGGAGGGAAAAAAAACTTTTCCAAATCAATCTGGAATCGACTTAAGTAAAAACGCTACAACTTAAAATTGAATTTATTAAATTATAAATTCGTATAATTTTATTTATATTTCTTGTGTTTGATAGTGTTGTTTGTCGACCACGTCACGCGTCAAACTTTGTACGTGTTGTTTCGTTTGTTGGTCAAGTGACCAACAACAACATTGACAATAACAAATGCAACACGCGCTTAATTTTTATTAGACCTCATGCGGTGCGCACTGCGCATGCGCAGCACCGAATAACCGTTGCATATGGACATACGGATACAAATGCACATGTGCGCGTAGATATATTTTTTGGGGCCAGCAATTGGCATAATTGACTGGCCGCTCGGTCTGGTCAGATACGTGAGGTGGGAGAACTTTTCGGTTACCATATTGTGCCGCTCCACCTCGTCGCAATTCCCCCGTCCAGTCAATTGATTTATGTCCATCATTAATAAC